TACCTGCATCCCATATGGGCGCCGGTTCTAGTTCCAGCTGCTGCTCTTCCGATCCAGCTCTCTGCTATGGCCTGGGATAGCAGTGGAGGATGGCCCAAGTGCTTGGGCCCTTGCACCCGTGTGGAGACCCAGAGGAAGCTCCTGGCTCCTGACTTTGAATCAGCGCAGCTCTGGCTGTTGTGGCCATCTGGGGAGTGAACCAGTGGATGGAAGATCTTTCTCTCTGTCTCTACCTTTCTCTGTAACTCTTTCAAATCAATAAAATAAATCTTTAAAAAAAAAAGAGTCTTGAAACAAATGAAAATGGAAACGTAACATAACAAAATTTGTGTAAAGCAAAAGAAGTACTAAGAAGGAATTTTATAGCAATCAATGCCAACATCAAAAAAGCAGAACAGGGATAGGCATCTGGCCTAGGGGGTAAGATGAAGACATTAGCTAAAACATTCATCATCCCCCATCAGAGTACCTGACTCCATTGCTAATGTGCACCCTGGGAAGCAGTGGGAATGACTCAAGTAACTGGGTTCATGCTACCCACATGGGAGACCTAGACTGAGTTCCTGGTTCTTGGAACTTCTGCTCCTTGCAAGCTGGCATCCCATACTAGAGTGCTAGTTCAAGCCCAGCTGCTCTGCTTCCAACCCACCTTCCTGATGATGCACCTGGGGAGGCAGTTAGACGACGGTCCCAGTACTTGGGCCACTGCTACCCATGGAGGAGACCAGGATGGATTCCTGGCTTCTAGCATCAGCCTAGCTAAGCCTGGCTGTTGTGGCCATTTGGGGAATGAACCAGAGGATGGAAGGTCTCTCTGTCTCTGTCTTTCCAATAAATAAATAAATCTTTTAAAAAAATCTTAAAGATAATATTTCTGCCAAGACACTGTGGCAAAAAGTGTCCTACATGAAGGACCTCTGTGGGTGAGATCCCAGTGGAAAGAAGTGGTCATCAAAGAAGGATGCACTTTTCTCTGAAGGGAGGAGAGAACCTCCACTTTGCTTATGGCCTTGGCTAAATACTGAAGGAGTTTGTGGGTTCCAAAGGTTTCTATAGCCTAGGAAGCTCATGTGAAGAGCCTCGGATGATCACTGATGTCAGACATAAGAGTGTTAACTGTTAAATTAACAGGAGTCACTGTGCACTAACTTCCCATGCAGGACCTCTGTCCTCAAAGAGTTGCATTATGAGAGTTAATAGTAAAACTTGTTCTCAAAGATTTACTTTGTTTTAGTGTACTAAATGGAGGATATTTTTATGTCTCATAAGTTATAGTTATGTCTAAGTGCTTGCAAAAGATGTATCATTCTTGGGTTCCTCGTTAAAGTTAATTAAGTTTCTAAAAAAGAAGAATGCTTTAAAAAAAAGGAAGTGAAATTAACTTCAATATGCAATGATTTTGAACAGCCCTTGTCTCAGCTGTTGAGGAACAGTTTTTTTTTTTTCCCCATACTATTTGTTGAACTCTTTACTTAGTATAGAGTTAATCTTTTGTGCATAAAGTTGATCCAAAATAGATCTTATTTAAAAATAAAACTGGGAATAAGAGAGGGAGGAGGAAGAGGGGTGGGAGTGTGGGTGGGAAGGTGGATACGGTGGGAACAATCACTATGTTCCTAAAATTTTATTTATGAAATGCATGAATTTTGTATTCCTTAAATAAAAGGTTTCTTTGGGGGGGGGGGAACCTAAAATAAATTTAATCAAAGAAGTGAAAGATCGCTACAACAAAAACTATAAAACATTTATGAAAGAAATTGATGACATGAGAAATGGAAACACATTATGTGTTAATGAATTGGAAGAATAAATATTGTTAAAATGTCCATACTACCTAAAGCTATTTACAGATTCAATATGATCCCTAACAAAACACAAATGACATTCTTCTCAGAACTAGACTATAAAGAATTTGTATGGAGGCAAAAAAGACCTGGAATAGCCAAAGCAACCTTAAGCAAAAAGAAAAATGTAGAAGCCTTATACTACCTGACTTTCTCTAATTCTCCTTTTCAAATAAATAAAATAAATCTTTTTTTAAAAGATTTATTTTATTTATTTGAAAGATAGAGTTATAGAGAGAGGTAGAGACAGAGAGAGAGGTCTTCCATCCGCTGGGTCACTCCCCAGATGGCTGCAATGGCTGGCGCTGCACTGATCTGAAGGCAGGAGCCAGGAGCCTCTTCTGGGTTCCCACATGGGTGCAGGGGCCCAAGGACTTGGACTATCTTCTACTGCTTTCCCAGGCCATAGCAGAGAGCTAGATCAGAAGTGAAGCAGCCAGGACTAGAACCGGCACCCATATGGGATGCCGGTGCTTCAGGCCAGGGCTTTAACCTACTGTGCCACAGCGCTGGCCCCATAAATAAATCTTAAATTAAAAAAGGAAAATAAACAGTCTTTTCAATGAATGGTACTAGGAAAATGATATCCACATGAGGAAGAGTGACACCAGATCCCTGTCTCTTATTATGTACAAAAACAGACTCAAAGCAAATTAAAGACCTATACACGAGAACTGAAACCTTGAAACTATTAAAAAAGAAAATATGGTGGGGCCGGTGCTGTGGTACAGCAGGTTAACGCCCTGTTCCTGAAGCACCAGCATCCCATATGGGTGCCAGTTCAAGACCCAGCTGCTCCACTTCTGATCCAGCTCTCTGCTGTGGCCTGGGAAAGCAGTGGAAGATGGCCCAAGTCCTTGGGCCCCTGCACCCAGGTGGGAGACCTGGAAGAAGCTCCTGGCTCCTGGCTTCAGATCAGCCCAGCTCTGGCCATTTCAGCCATTTGGGTAGTGAACCATGGGATGGAAGACCTCTCTCTCTGCCTCTCCTTCTCTGTGTAACTGTGACTTTCAATAAATAAATAAATCTTTTTTTTTTTTTTTAATAAAATACAGGGGAAACACTTCAGAAAGTTGGATTGGAAAGGACTCTTTCGGATCGGACCCCAGAAGCAAAATTGACCAATGGGACTTCATCCAACCAAAGAGCTTCCGTGCACCAGAGGGAACAATCAACACAGTGAAGAGACAGAATGGAAGAAAACAGTTCAAGTTATACCTCTGACCAGGGCTTAATCTCCCGAATAATAAGGATCCAAACAAATCGCATAAAAAATCCCATTAAAAAACGGGAGTAAATCTAAACAGACCTTTCTCAAAGAAAGATGTACAGATGGCTATCAGGTACACATAAAAAAATGCTCAATATGGTTAATCATCAGGAAAATGCAAATCAAAACCATAATGATACTGCTTCACTTAGAGTGAGGTGGCCACCATAAAAAAACACAAGGATAACAAATACTGGTGAGGATGTGGAGAAGAGGGAACCCTTATATGCTGTTGGTAGGAATGCAAATTAGTATAAATATTGTGGCAAACAGTATGCAGGTCCCTGAAAAAACTAAAAACAGAACTACCGAATGATCTAGGAATCCTACGAGGTATATATCCAAGGGAAATGAAATCAGGCAGCTGAGCAGGCATCTGCACTCCCATGTTTAATGCTGTATTGTTCACAAGAGCTAAGAAATGGAAACAACCTAAATGTTTAATATCAACTAATAAATGAAGAAAGTGTGGTACAGGTACACAAAGGAATACTGCTTAGCCATAAAAGGATGAATGGTTGTCATTTGCAACAACATAGATGGAACTAGAAGTCATTACATTAAACAAAATAAGCTAAGCACAGAAAGCCAAGGACTGCCTGATAACAAGCACACATAAAGTCTTAAAAAGATGATGAGAGGGACCGGCGCTGCGGTGTAGTGGGCAAAGCTGCTGCCCGCAGTGGCGCATCCCATATGGGTGCCAGTTCTAGTCCCAGCTGCTCTTCTTCTGATCCAGCTCTCTGCTATGGCCAGGGAAAGCAGCAGAAGATGGACCAAGTCCTTGGGCCCCTGCACCCACATGGGAGACCCGGATAAGGCTCCTGGCTCCTGGCTTCGGATCAGTGCAGCTCTGGCCGTTGCAGCCATTTGGGGAGTGAACCAACAGAAGGAAGACCTTTTTCTCTGTCTCTCCCTCTCACTGTCTGTAACTCTACCTCTCAAATAAATAAAAAAAAAATTCTTTAAAAAAAATAAAAGGCCTAAATCTTTGGGCCTCTCCACCTGCATTGGAGACCCGGAAGAAGCTCCTGGCTCCTGGCTTCAGTTCGGCACAGCTCTGGATCGGCGCAGCTCCAGTCCAGCTGTTGTGGGCAACTAGGGAGTGAAACAGTGGATGGAAGACCTCTCTCTCTCTCTGAGTAACTCTGACTTTAGACAGGAGGAATAAGTTCAAAGATATAATGTACAACACCATGACTGTAAGTGTATTGTATACTTGAAAAGTGTCGGAGTAGATTTTTGGTGTCCTCATCACAAAAAAATGAAAAGCCTGTTAGTTGGCTTGATCCAGTCATCCTACGATGTGTGTCTATTGCAAAATATGCTGGTCACCATCAATAAGTATTTGCATGTCGATTAAAAATCAATTTAAAAATGCTTAAAATATTTTTTTATTTTTTGACAGGCAGAATGGACAGTGAGAGAGACAGAGAGAAAGGTCTTCCTTTGCCGTTGGTTCACCCTCCAATGGCCGCCGCAGCCGGTGCACGGCGCTGATCCGATGGCAGGAGCCAGGTACTTATCCTGGTCTCCCATGGGGTGCAGGGCCCAAGCACTTGGGCCATCCTCCACTGCACTCCCTGGCCACAGCAGAGTGCTGGCCTGGAAGAGGGGCAACCGGGACAGAATCCGGCGCCCCAACCGGGACTAGAACCCCGTGTGCCGGCGCCGCAAGGCGGAGGATTAGCCTAGTGAGCTGCAGCGCCGGCAAAATATTTTTAATCTTTCTAGCCTTTATGATCAACTGAAAACTTTTTCTGGAAAGCCTATGGTAAATTCACTGAATTGTGAATCCTCTAATGCTCTAAGTTGGCTGTAACTGTTTCCTTAAAACTGTCCTAGGTGTCCTTAAAAAAATTGAAAAGTATTTAAAAAAAAATCACCTCTCAACAATGTTGAGGCAAGACACACCATCCTGGCCACCCACGGCATACAGAAAGCCTCCAAGTACTGCCACACCAACACTCGTCCTGCAGGTGCTTGTAGGGGCCACATCACTGCTCCACTGGTTTGTTTTGGGGTCATACCTGTAAAGAACACATCAAGAGCAGAGTTCTTATTCCACAAAGGAAGTCTGGCTATGTTACATATTTCAAATCAAAGGATTGATATATGTTATCTCCCTTAAATAAGGGCAGATTAATAACTAAAATACATGGAAACCTATTTTGATCTTTGAAATTCATTTGTATATAATAAGCTGTATATGAATATATATTTTAAAAAATCAAAACAGTATCAACAAAACTAATTTTCCCTTTGAGTTCCACTTGAACTCTGGTCTCTTCCCATTATGATTGGCATATACTCTTTAATACTTTTCAGTAAAATGTTTTCAAATAAGTATACATGTACCCATATGCACATGCATCTGTGAGCTTGTTTTATTTACATAAATATATGTCCACAGTAGGCACTGTTTCTGTTCAAGATATTTGAGATCTATTTATAGAAGTATAGCACAAGAGATTCCTTTTGAACTATTTTATAACACTGTATATGCCACGTCACTTAATCATATTCCTATCCATATATCCTTTGACTATTTCCAATATGTTGCTATTAAAAACAGTGATTATTCTTGTATCTTTCTCCCTGTGCAAATGGATAAAGACTAGAAAATGGATAAAGACTAGAATCGTTGGGGCAAAGAATATATTCATTTTTACTTTTATTTTTTAAGATTTAATTTATTTATTTGAGAAGATGAGTTACAGGGAGAGGGAGAGACACAGATAAAGGGCTGCCATCCATTGGTTCACTCCCAAAATGGCCACAACAGTGGGATGGCTGGAGCCAGCAGCTTCTTCTAGGCCTCGGATGTATGTGCAGGGGCCCAAGGGCTTTCTCAGGCCACAGCAGAGAGCTGGATTGCAAGTGAAGCAGCTGGGACTCGAACTGGCGCCCATGTGGGATGCTGGCACTGTAGGTGGCGGCTTTACCCACTATGCCACAGTGCTGGCTCCCAAAATCTTTATTTTGATATCTACAGGCTTCAATGTAACTGAGATATAAATATTTAATTATTTTGCTTATATTTGTTTAACTGGTTTACTTATTTATTTTAAAAATATCTTAGTTTTATTTCATGATTCTAGAATTGACGACACTTTATTTCATAAAATACAGTTAGCATTCCCTTGGTATATTTAAGTGCACTCCCCTAGCCACTCCACTTTTATGGAACTGATTCCTCGGTGTTTTTCCAGCCACAATGGGAACTGAGTTGCTGCATGGTTTCAGAGGTGTGTTGTGGAAATACCAAGGATCACCTTAAATCAACATCATGGAAAGGAAAAGGGTGCATGAGAGCAAGAAGCTTTTAAAACATCAGTTACTGTAAGGTTTCCATTGTGCCCTGTGTGATAGATATTATGGATAAAGGCAGCTCAACAATTATAGCACAATGGATTAGGAACAAGCTTGTTAAAGATACATAAAGAATAAAGGCGTGAGAAACTAATTTATTTGCATGACCATCAGAGAATTTTATGTAATGATTAACATTTGATTCTTGAAGGATAAGTAAGTCTTAAAAGGGCAAATATTCCAGGGAAGAAAGCAAGCATACACATAGGGAAACAGACATGAAAGACGATGGTGTGCTGGGGCTGGCGCTGTGGCGCAGCAGGTAAAGCCGCCGCCTGCAGTGCTGGCTTCCCATTTGAGCACTGGTTCAAGTCCCAGCTGCTCTGCTTCTGATCCACCTCTCTGCTATGGCCTGGGAAAGCAGTGGAGGATGGCCCAAGTCCTTGGGCCCCTGCACCCCCATGGGAGACCAGGAAGAAGCACCTGGCTCCTGGCTTCAGATCAGCGCAGCTCCAGCCGTTGCAGCCGTCTGGGGAGTGAACTGGCGGCATCCTCTCTGCCTCTCCTCTTTCTACATAATTCTCACTTTCAAATAAATAAATCAAATCTTTAAAAAAAAAAAAAAGACAGTTGTGCCAGGAACTGTGAGCAATTTGTTGGGTCCGTAGTTGCATGTTTAGGGAATGGTGCAATCCAATGCAAAGTGGAAAAACAGGTGGAGAACAGATCATAGAGGACTTGTACGTCATGCTACAAGGATTAGGGTGCCAACCAGTGCCACAGACTCAAGTCACATCTGTTTCCTAACTAGTATCTCAAATGACACTGCATGTACAATAGAGAAAACATTTCAAGCCCTCTTTACTCACCTTTCAACACTATTGAGATAAGAGGATCCATCATGGCCTCCCACTGCATATAACAGGTCATCAAGGACACTGACCCCAACTCCACATCGCCTTTTGCTCATTGAAGCTACCATGCGCCATTCATTTGTCTGTGGATCATATCTTTCAACACTGGAAATGGCATCTCCACTGCACCAACCACCGACTAAGGAAGAAACAGAAATGATCAAGAGGATGTGCCCTAAGGCAAACTGTATCAGTCCCTGCTAACCTCACTGTGGATTAATGTGTGACTAAGCAAATGTCTCTAGAAGTAGGTCCAAATACAGTCATAACTTTCATTTATTCCACTGGGATTGCTATAACCTTAATTAATTTTCTAAATACATTAGTATCATGTCCACTTGACAAAGAAGGACAATGACACCTATTCAAATAGAATTGTAAGGTAATATCCTATATAATGGATAAAACACTGAATTTAGTTAGAAAATTAAGGTTTGATTGTTGCTTCTACCAGTTCTGCAATGTTGGGGAAATCCTGAGCCACTGTTTCCTCATTTGTAAAATAAGGAATCAAAATTAAAAAGTGGAAAAATACTAACAATGTATAAAAAGGATGATACAACATGACCAAGTAGGTTTTATCTGAGTAGACAAGAAGGTTCAAATTTTAAAAATCATATCACCAGGCTAAAAAAGAAAACTCAGAATTTTTTTTTTTTTTTTTTTTTGACAGGCAGAATGGACAGTGAGAGAGAGAGACAGAGAGGAAGGTCTTCCTTTGCCGTTGGTTCACTCTCCAATGGCTGCTGCGGCCAGTGCGCTGCGGCCAGCGCAACGCGCTGATCCGAAGCCAGGAGCTAGGTGCTTTTCCTGGTCTCCCATGCGGGTGCAGGACCCAAGGACTTGGGCCATCTTCCACTGCACTCCCGGGCCACAGCAGAGAGCTGGCCTGGAAGAGGGGCAACCGGGACAGAATCCAGCGCCCCGACCGGGACTAGAACCCGGTGTGCCGGCGCCGCAAGGCGGAGGATTAGCCTATTGAGCCACAGCGCCGGCCAGAATTTTTTTTTTTTTTTAAGATTTATGTATTTATTTGAAAGTCAGAGTTACACAGAGAGAGGAGAGCCAGAGAGAGAGAGGTCTTCCATCCGATGGTTCACTCCCCAGATGGCTGCAACAGCCGGAGCTGCATCGATCCAAAGCCAGGAGCCAGGAGCTTATCCGGGTCTCTCACGTGGGTGCAGGGACCCAAGGACTTGGGCCATCCTCCACTGCTATCCCAGGCAGTAGCAGAGAGCTGGATCAGAAGCGGAGCAGCTGAGACTTGAACCAGTGCTCAAATGGGAAGCCGGCACTGCAGGCGGCGGCTTTACCCGCTGCGCCACAGTGCCAGCCCCGAAAACTCAGAATTGTATCAACAGATGCAGGAAAAGTATCTGACAAATTCAATACACATTCCTCATAAAAACTCTCAAAAAACTGGGAACTTCTGCTTAATAAAGAATAGTTACAAAATGCCTTCAGCTAGCATTATACTTAATGGTAAGAGTTAAAGCTTTCTAAGATAAAGAACAAGGCAAGAATGTTCCCTCTCATTACTGATTTCCAGCATCATACTGGAAGTCCTAGCTAATGCTGTAAGACAAGAAAAGGAAATAAAAGGCATACTATTTAAGAAGAAACTGTCGGGGCCATGCTGTGGCGTAGCAGGTAAAGCTGCTGCCTGCAGTGCCAGCATCCCATATGGGTGCCGGATCAAGTCCTGGCTGCTTCACTTTCGATCCAGCTCTCTGCTGTGGCCTGGGAAAGCAGTGAAGATGGCCCAAGTCCTTGGGCCCCTGCACCCCATGTGGAAGACCCGGATAAGGCTTCTGGCTCCTGGCTACTGATTGGTGAAGCTTCAGTCATTGCGGCTAACTGGGGAGTGAACTAGCAGATGGAAGACCTCTCTCTCTCTTTCTGCCTCTGCTTCTCTGTAACAACTTTGCCTTTCAAACAAATAAATAAACCTTAAAAAAAAAAAAAAAAAAGAAGCCAGTTAGGGCTCCCATGCCCATGTTTGGAATACCAGGGGTTGATATCTGGCTCCCTCTCCTGACTTGGGCTTCCTGCCTCCTGGACCCTTGGAGGCAGCTATAGGAACCTACCAAGATACCTTTCAGTAGGTGAATGGATAAACTATGGTACATCCAGACAACAGATAATGCTGTAATAAAAAATGAGCTATCAAACCATGAGAAGACATGGATGAAACTTAAAAAAAGAGGCCAGTCTGAAAAGTTACTGTGACATTGTGAAATATGTATTTGGTCTTCACCTCCACTTCCCTACCTATAACTCTTAAAATCATTGGAATCTCTAAAGTGATACTTATGTTTTTGGATGGCAATGAGTTGACCTTTGGCTGGCAGCCTCTTGGTAGCTTCAGGATAGGGGCAAGGACCAAGGTGTGCTTAGAGTGCTGGGACTTTTAGTCCTATCCACCATCCTAAGGGGAAGGGGAAGGAACTGAAGGTTAAGTTGATCACCAATGACTTAAGATTTAATCAATTATGCACATTATACTGAAAACTTCATAAAAACCTGAAAGCATGAGGTTCAGGAAGCTTCTAGATAATCTGAGCACATGGAGGTTCCTGAAGGGTGGTGGACCTGGACAGGGCTTGTAAGATCTGTGCATCTCTGCATGTGATCCTTTCAATGTCATTTATTTATTTATTTATTTATTTATTTATTTATTTATTTATTTATTTATTTTTTGACAGGCAGAGTGGATAGTGAGAGAGAGACAGAAAGGTCTTCCTTTTGCCGTTGGCTCACCCTCCAATGGCCGCCACGGCTGGTGCGCTGCGGCCGGCACACCGTGCTGATCCGATGGCAGGAGCCAGGTGCTTCTCCTGGTCTCCCATGGGGTGCAGGGCCCAAGCACTTGGGCCATCCTCCACTGCACTCCCGGGCCACAGCAGAGAGCTGGACTGGAAGAGGAGCAGCAGAGACTAGAACCAGCACCCATATGGGATGCTGGTGCCACAGGCGAAGGATCAACCCACTGCGCCACAGTGCCAGCCCCTTTTTAATGTCTTTTATAGAAAACCACTAAGTATAGGAATTTTCCTGACTTCACAAACCACTTGAGCAAATTAAAACCAAACAGGCAGTGTAGGAACAGTGATTTGTAGTCTATTGGTCGGAAGCACGGGTAAAACAAACTGGGGCTTGTAAATGGCATCTAAAAGGGAGGGAAACCTTGGGGACTGAGCCCTCAACACATGAGATTTGACACTATCTCAGGCAGATAGTGCTGGAACTGAACTGGGGAAGAGGATGCCCAATTGATGTCCACTGCAAAACTGATTGCTTGCTTACTGGTGGAGAGAAATCCTTACACCTTTTGAGGTCATAGAATTCTTCTATGTTGACTGTTGTGATCTGAGAGCAGAGGGAAACATGGTTTGTTTTTCTGACTCAGTTATGTGGTTCCAACTATATTACATTCTGGATAAGGCAAAACAAAGGAGACAGCAAAAAGAGTAAACGGGGACTGGTTCGTGTCTGGGCTGTTCTACTTCCGATCCAGCTCCCTGCCAATGTGCCTGGGAAAGCAGTAGAAGATGTTTCACGTGCTTGGGCCCCTGTACCCATGCGGGAGACCTGGAGGAACCTCCTGGCTCGGCTTCCATCTGGCCCAGCCCTGGTCATTGTGGCCACCTGGGGAGTGAACCAGCTGATGGAAGACTTCTCTCTTTTTGCCTCTGCCTCTCTCTCTTTACAATTCTGCCTTCCAAATCAATAAATAAATCTTAAAAAAAAAGTTCAAGAAAAATACATTTTATAACTAGGCATGGGCTTAACTGTTTTGCTCCAGAATAATGTTATCTCTTAATTCTATTTTCCATGAACTTTTTGAAATCCTCTTGTAAGTATCTAAAATGAGTTAAAAAAAAAAAACTTGTATATAGTACTAGATAAACGTAATGTGCTATCAAAAGCCAAAAAACAACAACTCAGAATCCTCTTTTTCTTTTATTATATTAGAGAGACAGTTTTTGGCTGATCAACTCATGATCTCTTAATACATACCGTTGTGACTAAAACAGTACTAAACTTCTAAAATCACAAAATATTTTGCTTTCTGTTTAGTCTATAGTCTGCACTGAATTCTAAACTATCAAATACAACATTTATGATCAGAAAACACTGAAGACATTATATTTTTCACAAGTGAGTGTTAGGGACTGAATGACTGTTTTCCGCCACTCCCAAATCCATATGTTTAAGTCTTTTTTTTTTTTTTTTTTTGACAGGCAGAGTGGACAGTGAGAGAGACAGACAGAGAGAAAGGTCTTCCTTTTTTTTTTTTTTTGCCGTTGGTTCACCCTCCAATGGCCGCCGTGGCCGGCGCATCGCACTGATCCGAAGGCAGGAGCCAGGTGCTTCTCCTGGTCTCCCATGGGGTGAAGGGCCCAAGCACTTGGGCCATCCTCCACTGCACTCCTGGGCCACAGCAGAGAGCTGGCCCGGAAGAGAGGCAACCAGGACAGAATCCGGTGCCCCGACCGGGACTACAACCCGGTGTGCTGGCGCCACTAGGTGGAGGATTAGCCTCGTGAGCTGCGGCGCCGGCCTATGTTTAAGTCTTAATCCATAGTTTGGCTGTACTTACAGATGGGACCTCTAAGGAAGTAAATGGGTTTATGTGAGTTAATAAGGGTGAGGATCGAACCCTATAAAATTACTGTTCCTGTGAGAAGAGACACCACAGCTCTTGTTTGTTCTCTCCACTGCCTGCCCCACCTCTCCACATGTGCACACACCAAACGGATGCCATGTAAGGACATAACAAGAAGGTAGCCATCCACAAGGCAGGAAGTGAACCCTGTCCAGACATTGAATTGGCTGGAATCTCGACTTTAGACTTAGAGCCTCCAGGAGTATAAGAAAATAATTTAACCACCATTCTATGGTATTTTGTTACGGCAGACTGAGCAAAGTAACAATATGAATAGGAAACAAACCATCCAACAAAAAACTAAAAAGAAAACAAAAAACAAGCCGGCGCCGTGGCTCAATAGGCTAATCCTCCGCCTTCCGGCGCCGGCACACCGGGTTCTAGTCCCGGTTGGGGCGCCGGATTCTGTCCCGGTTGCCCCTCTTCCAGGCCAGCTCTCTGCTATGGCCAGGGAGTGCAGTGGAGGATGGCCCAGGTGCTTGGGCCCTGTACCCCATGGGAGACCAGGAGAAGCACCTGGCTCCTGGCTCCTGCCATCGGATCAGCGCGGTGCGCCGGCTGCAGCGGCGGCCATTGGAGGGTGAACCAACGGCAAAGGAAGACCTTTCTCTCTGTCTCTCTCTCACACTGTCCACTCTGCCTGTCAAACATATAAAATAGAAATATAAGAAACAAAAACAAAACAAAAATACACCTCTTAAAATTCTATAAAGCTTTCCTGAGTGATTCCTGAAAAAAGTATGATTATGGCACATAACTGAATTGGTTAATCTTTCAAATATTTTTCATTTAAGAAATGAGGTTCTAAGAGTACTGCAAACACTTGCTTTAACTACTGGTTCCTAAGGGTGTCCCAAGCAACTTTCTGAGCCCAACTGAAAATGGAAAATGCTCCCAATCTTTTCTTCTAGATGGATTTGAAAGTTTACTTTGTTAATTTGATAATCTCAATATGCTATATAAATTTTATTTTAGGATGGGTTCTTTTAAAGCAGAATAGTCAACTAATACTAAATCACAGCCAGTTTTATGGATATTAATTTGTTTAAATTTGAATTCTGTAATTGGATAAATGCCACGGGTTTCAGTATCCTAAATCTAAAATACAACTTGGCTAGAAATGTGAGGATTTATAGCACTTGAGACCTATAGCCTAATTACTAAATTTCAGTTATAATTTTATAATGGAAGTAATTTAAAACCAGCTTTTTACTGGATTAAATGGCTTTAAATCAAATAAGTAATACTTCATAAATGCTATTCTTCAACATCAAAGAAAAATAGGCTTTTAGAAAACAAAACTTAAGGTTTTTTGTGTGTGTGTGTGACTTAGGGATGTAAGAAAAGGAAAAGATTGTTTGGTTCTACTTTCATGGTGGTCTTAAGTGTAGCATGATTACCAGGGCAGCAAATGATGACATAACAGGGTATTACAGGCTGAATTATCTCTCTCTAAAATGTATATATTGAAACCAAACCTCCATTGTGACGATATAAAGAGACAGGGCTTTTAAGGAGGTAATTAGAGTTAAATGAGGTCATAAGAGGACTAACAGGACTGACTTTTTTTTTTAAGATTTATTTATTTATTTGAAAGGCAGAGTTACAGAGGGAGAGAGATACAGAGACAAAGACAATGATCTTCCCTCTGCTGGTTCACTCTCCAAATGGGTGCAGCAGCTGGAGCTGAGCTAATCTGAAGCCAGGAGCCAAGATTTTCTTCTGGGTCTTCCAACTGGGTAAGAAAGGCCCAAGCACTTGGGCCATCTTCCACTGTTTTTCCAGACACACTAGCAGGGAGCTGGATTAGAAGTGAAGCCTCCAGGACTCGAATCAGTGCACATATGGGATGCCAGAACCATAGGTGGCAGCTTAACCTGCTCTGCCACAGCACTGGCCCCTGGACTGATGTCCTTAGAAGAGAAGAAGCCATCAAAGATCTCTGTATGTGCACAGAGACAGGGCCATGTGAAGTTACAAGAGAAGGCAACTTGTATAAGCTCAAGAGAGAAGCCTCACCCAGGCTAGGGCACTCAGTTACGGCAGACCAAGCACACTAATACACTGGAACTGGGGTAGAACTATTGAAATTATGATTATAAGGCCAGCGCCGCGGCTTACTAGGCTCTAATCCTCCACCTAGCGCCGGCACACCAGGTTCTAGTCCCGGTTGGGGCGCTGGATTCTTTCCCGGTTGCCCCTCTTCCGGGCCAGCTCTCTGCTGTGGCCCGGGAAGGCAGTGGAGGATGGCCCAAGTGCTCGGGCCCTGCACCCGCATGGGAGACCAGGAGAAGCACCTGGCTCCTGGCCTCAGATCAGCACAGCGCGTCAGCCATAGTGGCCATTTTGAGGGGTGAACCAATGGAAGGAAGACCTTTCTCTCTGTCTCTCTTTTTATAGGATTCCTTGAAAACTTAATGAGGTCTGACAATTTATTCACCAATCTTTGGGAACCATAGACAGGTATGTAATGAGAGAGGGTGCAGATGTGTGTAGGTGTGGGCCTGCAAGTGTCTGAACTCACATGAGTATATGAACATGTACATGTGAATGTATATGTATAGGATGAAAATTTTAGAATGAATAAATAAGGATGGCAATAAAAATGATAAATTTGTTAGTAAAATGAGACATTAGGACACTGGGAGTATGGGAGAAGTCAGTGCATGAAGAATTAATTAATAATTATTTGAAATCTAAAACAAAATGAAGTAATGCTTCCAAAAGAGAAGGAAAAAGATCATGATGAGGATGAGAAAGAAGAAGAAGAAAATTTGGTATCTATTTGGTATGAGTTTTCTTTGAAAAGAAATGCTGTAATCTACTTGAAGAAAATTAGATGAACAAATTTCAGAAGAGGAAGCTATAAACATAAATTATCAAATCTGGCTTCCAAAACTATAGGAGAAGATATATTCCCACCTGCTAAGAGAAAATTAAATTAAACATGAAAAGACATTCAAGCGGTTAGCTGATGGGGAAGGGCACTATGTCCCAGAGGTTTAATTCCCTGATTAAAAGGAATAGAACACTTCAAATACTGAACTGGGACACAGGATCAGAGGAAGCCCATATCTAAGGAGTATGGAATTACTGAGCCTTGGAGGCTTAAATATGAACACTACACATACACCCCAGCTAGTCCATGAATCAGGATTTGAAAAAACTGTCAGGACATGAACTACTACAGGTTGAGTATGCCCTCTCTGGAATGCTGGTTGGATTATGGAATAAATGCATAGACTTTGCCAGCTGAGCATCTCTGATCCAAAAATCCAAAATCTGAAACTTTTTGAGTGTTGATATGATGCTCAAAACATTTCAGATTTTGTAGCATTTTAGATTTCTGAATTAGGGCCGCTCACCATGTAAGAGGCTTTACTAAACAATGAAAAAGTAGTTATTCAGTTGAATGAGGGAGCTGACTTTACGTGGACAGAATTAAAGTACTTGAAATAGAAAGATCTCGAAGGTTTAGGGTTAGATAGTAGGAGCAAAATAACACAGCAGGTTGTTTTGGGGCTTAACCTAACTTGACAGGACTTGGAAACAGTCTAACTATTTAAGATAACTTTTTTGACAATTACAAGTAATTATGAGGTGACTTGTGCATTGAATGCAAATTACTGTATGTAACTCATTTCAACAAAACATCCAAGTAGTCTTTTGGAGAATACCACTGTTAGATAATGGATTAAGAATCAAGTTATATACTGGCTTATTACGTGTTTCTTATGACTAAGTATCACAGCTTTCCAAATGATTACTCAAGTGACAATTCTCACACGGGAAGATACTTTGCTTAGTCACAGTGTATTAAGATCCACACCTGCAAAGAGTACTTCTCCACATCGGATGGGTTTCCGTGGTCTTGTCCGTGGTCCTTGCATTAGAGGTCGTTCTTGAGGCAAGAGGAGGTAGTTTTTAGCCTCATCTACCAAGTCTCTGCAGAAAAAAAAATTGTGCCTTTATTCTAAATGTCTCAATAACATTGCTAGTCAAGTTTCAACACAGCTCAGGAATATTTAGGTTGGCAAGGAGAGGGAAGTATAAATCAGCTGAAACCAAGAATGCCAGCCAATATTAAAACTGACGCAAACATGAAAGCCATGTTGGCAATCACACTGAGTTGTGAACTTCCACATGACTTCATATCTCAGTGAAAATTTAACCAAAGACCAAACATGCTTAGAGTCAGCAAAATCTTACGGGGAACTAATAGCTATGATTAGATCACCAGCCTGCTTAGTTACCATATTCTGACAAATTTTATTGGATTCTGCAGGATATTGGAAAAGGAGCATATCAGTAGGGGCACCATAAGATATCTGATAGATTAATTAAAGTTATAAAACTGGGTCAAACATCGGATTTCTAAAAAGAAACGCTATACTGTCTCTTAATATTAATTTGCTCTCCAGTACCATCTGAATGGTTTAGTCTTAACAAGTTCACTGAGATAAAAACTTTTTTTTCTTTCTAATTAAGGTACTTTAAGGGAAGAATCTGGTAATTACATTTGTTAAATACAGTATCCCAATACAAACTATTTGGCATACTTATTTTGAGTCTTTTTAAAAAAGTTTATATATTTCAAAGGCAGAGTTACAGAGAGGAGAAGAGACAGCGACAGAGATCTTCCACCCGCTGGTTCACTCCCCAAATGGCCACAATGGCCAGGAGTTTCATCTGAGTCTCTCACATGGGTGGTGGAGTCCAGGTACTTAAGGTCATCCTCTGCTGCTTTTCCTAGGCACATTAGCAGGGAGCTGGATTAGAAGAGGAGCAGCCAGGACTCGAACCAGCAGGCAAATGGGATGCTGCTGTCACAGATAGTGGCTTAACCCACTATGCCACAGTGCCAACCCCTGTTTGAGTCTTTAAAGACACTCAGTGCCTGCAGAACTGTTATTACTCTCTCCCTCAATTCTGAAAGTATTTTCTATAGTATCCTATACTAAAAAGAGTAATTTATTCCTGCTTAGACCTGTACCAGGCAAGACACAGTAATGCACTTTCCAGTATAAGGCTTTGTTTGCTTAGGCTTCTTCTGAATTTATCCTAAAAACAAAAACAGAAACAGAAAAACTAAGTCAGTGATCAAGAGCTTTCTCTAGCTTCTCATAAAGACACCCATCCACTGGTTCATTCCCCAGCTGGGGCTGGGCCAGACTGAAGCCAGGAGCCTGGAACTCCATCTGGGTCTCCCACTTGAGTGGCAGGGGACATCTTTCACTGCCTTCCAGGCATGTTAGCTGAGAGCTGGATCAGAAGTGGAGCAGTCGGGACTTGAACCAGTGCTCACATGGGATGCTGGCATTGCAGGTGGTGGAGGCTGAATACACTATGCCACAATGCCGGCCCTGCACAAGATTAATATTAATAACAGTTACAGTCATGGGCTACTCCACTTTAGGTTCTTAATATATATTTATGCATTTAATTTTCATAGCAGCCTTATGGAGTAGACACTGCTATTAGTCCTACTTTATCAATGAAGAAATCGCAGCACAAAGAGGTTAAAGTAATTTGCCAAAGGTCTACACACTGGGAATTTTAAATATTATTTGAGGGGCCATTGCTGTGGCGCGGTGGGTTAAAGCCCTGGCCTGAAGCGCCGGCATCCCATATGGGTGCCGGTTCTAGTCCTGGCTGCTTCACTTCTGATCTAGCTCTCTGCTATGGCCTGGGAAAGCAGAAGAAGACAGCCCAAGTCCTTGGGCCCCTGCACCCATGTGGGAGACCTGGAAGAAACTCCTGGCTCCTGGCTTGGGATCGCCCCAGCTCCAGCCATTGTGGCCATCTGGGGAGTGAACCAGTGGATGGAGGACCTCTCTCTGTCTCTGCCTCTCTCTGTAACTCTGTCTTTCAAATAAATAAAATAAATCTTAAAAAAAATATATTATTTGAGAGGCAGATAGAGATCTGAGAAAGAGATAGGGAGACAGAGAAGTCCCCTTTGCTGGCCCACTCCACAAACTCCTGTGATGGCAGGACTGAGCCAGGCTGAAACCAGGAGTTAGGAACTCAATCCAGGTCTCCCACTGGGATGGCTGGGATTCCACTACCTGAGCCATTACCACCAGACCCAGGGTGCACAATACCAGAAAGCTGAGATCAGAAGCAGAGCCAAGTCTCAAGCCCAGGCACTGTGATGTGGTACACTGGGGTCCATCAGCCAGGCCAAATGCCTGCCTCGGGTCTATTTATTTATTTATTAATTAAAGATTTATTTATTTGAAAGGCAGAGTTACACAGAGAGAGCAGGAGAGGCAGAGAGAGAGAGGTCTTCCATCTGCTGGATCACTCCCTAGGTGGCTGCAACAGCTAGAGCTGTGCCGATCTGAAGCCAGGAGCCAGGAGCTTCTTTCAGGTCTCCCATGCGGGTGCAGGGGCCCAAGGACTTGGGCCATCTTCCACTGCTTTCCCAGGCCATAGCAGAGAGCTGGATAGGAAGTGGAGCAGTTGGGACTTGAATCAGCGTCCATATGGGATGCCAGCACTGCAGGTGGTGGCTTTACCTGCTATGCCACAGCGCTGGCCCCCTGGGCCTGGGTCTTCTTTTAAAAGTGACTTCAGGGGTGGGTGTTTGGCACAGCAAATAAGATGCCCAAGTCCCATATCAGAGTATGTAGGTTCAAATTCTCTGTCTATTCCAGCTTCCTGCTAATGAGTTCTCTGGGAGGCAGCAGGCGATGGTTCAAGTTCTTGGGTTCCTGCTGCTCACGTGGGAGGCATGGATTGAATACCAGGCTCTTGGCTTCAGATCGGCTCAATCCTGGCTAAGAATCTAGAGAGTGAACCAGGAGATAGAATATTTCTGTCTGCCTGCGTCTTTCAAAATAAATAAGTAAAATGACTATGGGGCCAGTGGTTAGCCTAGAAAGTGAAGATACCTGCATTCCACATCAGAGTGCCTGGGTTTGATGTCGAGTTCTGGCTCCTGACTCCAGCTTCCTGCTGATAAAGACCAGTGAGGGGACAGCAGTGATGGCTCAATACCCACGTGGGAGACCGGATCCCCAGCTCTCACTTTCCCCAGGCTGTTTTAGGCATTTGGGAAGTGAGCCAGTGGATGGGAGTGCTCCCTGTCTCTCCTGAATCTCAAATAATAAAACAAATAAACAAGCACAGAAGAAAGCTACTTCATAGGCTCCTGTGCTCTCTACATCAAAACCAGTGCAATCTGTTTTATGCTTAATCAGGAAAGCATACCCATGTATCGTTTCTTTAGAGTTCACCATATGGTTTTCCTTCTTGCTATTGCAAATATTTAGGGGAAGTAATTACCATTTATCTGCTTCTTTAATTTAAAAGACAAACATCTAAATCCCCCTTTAGCATCTCCTATTAAAGGAACAGGTCTTGGATTATGGAAGAAATGTGAGCAAATCCTCATGTCCTACTTCTGTTCTGAAGTCAGGGATAATTCCATAAGAATGGTACTTACGGGACACTATGTGATTTCTGTTTTATAATGCTCAAGTCAGGGTAAGCTTATCCATTACCTCAGACATTTATAATTTCTGTTAAAAAATTAAAAATCCTTTCTTCCAGCTTTAAAAACATATCTAGTGCATTATCATTATTTATAGTCATCCTACTAGTTCCTGTGACCATCTTTTCTCCTTCCTTCCTTTTCCCCTACTCTCCATAGCATTTGGCAAGCATTATTCTACTCTAATTCACTTATTTATATATTATTTATTTTAAAGGCAGAAAGAGAATACAGAGCGTTCTTTGATGCACTGGTTTACTCCCCAAATATCTACAGCAGCTGGGACTGGCATTCCAGCCAGGTCTCCTATGTGGATGGCAGGGACCCAAGTATGTGAGCCATCACCTGCTGTCACCCAAGGTACATATTAGCAAAGAGCTACATTGGAGTGGAGTTGGAACTCAAACCCAGGCACTCTGATATGGGACACTTGCATTCTAAGTGGCATCTTAACCACCATATCAAATACCTGTTCTCTCTACTTTTCTCAAGAGAAATGTTTTCAGATTCTACGTATGAGTGGCTTACTTGGCTAATCCTCCGCCTGTGGCGCCGGCACACCAGGTTCTAGTCCCAGTTGGGGCGCCGGATTCTGTCCCGGTTGCCCCTCTTCCAGTCCAGCTCTCTGCTGTGGCCTGGGAAGGCAGTGGAGGATGGCCCAAGTGCTTGGGCCCTGCACCCACATGGGAGACCAGTAGCGGCCATTTGGGGGGTGAACCAACAGAAAGGAAGACCTTTCTCTCTCTCTCTCTCTAACGGAAAGGAAGACCCCTCTCTCTCTCTCTCTCACTGTCTAAATCTGCCTGTCAAAAAAAAAAAAAAAAAAAAAAAAAAAAAAAAAAAAAAAGCCAGACGGCTGCATATTTGAAGCTAAATCTTAAAATCTGTCAAATTTGGAGATCATTACATTTTGTATATGAGTATATTATAGAGCCAGCCTAGTAGAATAGTTTTTTCCTCCTTTCTAAAAATATCCTTTTTTTTTTTTTTGGTCAAAACACGTTTAGAGGAGCAGTGCTGTAGTACAGCGAGCTAAGCTGCTGCCTGTAACACCAGCATTCCATGTCAGAGTCCCAGCTGCTCCACGTGCGATCCACTTCCCTGATGACGTGCCTGGGAGGCAGCGGAAGACGGCTCAAGGGCTTGGCCCCTGCTGCCCTTGCAGGAGACCTAGATGGTGTTCCGGGTTCCTGGCTTCAGCCTGGACTACCTCAGCTGTTGAGGCCAGGGGATGGAAGATATCTCTCCCTGTCTTTCCAAATTCATAATAACAATAATCAAAATGTTTAGAAACTGCTTCACCTTGCTGTAATTAAATCTTTCTAAAGCTGAGTTAATCAGTTCATCCTCTTAGAAGGTGAGGCTAGTCCAATTCTCCACTAGATATGATGGAAAGAAAAGTGCTCACTGACAGAGTAAACAGCATTATTCAATTTACTTCAGGAAAAAAATGGCCAAGAACTGCCTCTTCAAATTCAAGCTTGCATTAAAGTCTTTTAACTCTCTCTCTTTATTGCTGCTTCTACACCAATAAGCAGTACAGATAAAAAAAAAAAAACACTGGAGGAGCCGACACTGTGGCGTAGCGGGTAAAGCCTCCACCTGCAGTGCTGGCATCTCATCTGGGCACTGGTTTGTGTCCTAGCTGCTCCACTTCCTATCCAGCTCTCTGCTATGCCCTGGGAAAGCAGTAGAAGATGGCCCAAGTCCCTGGGTCCCTGCACCCACGTGGGAGACCCAGAAGAAGCTCCTGGCTCCTGCCTTCGGATCGGCAAGGCTCTGACTGTTGTGGCCAACTGGGGAGTGAACCAGTGAATGGAAGACATCTCTCTCTCTCTCTCTCTCTGCTCTCCTTCTCTCTTTGTGTAACTCTTTTAGATACAAAAATAAATCTTATAAAAAAAAAACAAAAAACCAAAAACCACTGGAAGTGCAATTCTGTCAAAAATTTTGCCTTTTCCTCTTCTTGACCCTAGCCCAGAAGAAAAACCTGTTAAATATTGCCTTGGTTCCAGCAATAAGAAATGCAATATTTAGGAAGCAATCCAAATAAGGAAATTAGGAGAAAATAGGGATGTTTGGGTGTTGATTCTTCCCAGCCAGGGTCATTCATACCTGCACTCTTCATCACTTTTGATGAGGGGATCAGAACCTACTGTGCCCACCAGGAACTTGGGACTAAGCAAAGGCAAACGAACATGCTGCAGCACCTACAAGACAATAAAAGCTGTTAAAGGCATGAGCTCCTTCCGGTAAGATTTAAAGGGATGCATGATCCAGGCTCCCCTACTGTGCTTCACCTGTTTTGAGATCTAATTGAACATGATAAGCAAAGGAGGAGGAGGAGGAAGGCATCCATTTCAAAACTAAATTAAATTTATTCTAACAATTCAGTAATGGAGAATAATCAGAAAACTGATTCTAGGATGCTATTTTAAGTTCTCAGCAACCTGTTACAAACTCTTCTGTATCTGGACTGAAATAGATTAACAATCTAGAAGAATAAGCTGTTGAACTGTCAGACTCTGCTACAGCTCCCTCGCGTCCTCAATTCCAGTTACTTGTGGTCAGCTGTGATCTGAAAATACTACACAGAAAACTCTGGAAATAAAAAATTCCTACGTTCTAGTTCATACTACATTGCTATAATTGTAGTTTATTATGATTGTTAATCTCTTATTGTACCTAATTTATAAATTAAACTTTATCATAACATACATGGGCTTCGGTACTACGAGAGGTTTCGGGAATCTGAGGGATGTATTGGAACATATCCCTTGTGGATAACAGTGGACTACATAACAACAAGGAGGGGCCTTGAACATTTCACTCAGTGATCACCTATGTCCCAGTTCTTCCCTTTACTCTCCAAAGTGTTTTAGGATTTCCAGCTTATAGGTATGGGACGCATGTGGTGGGATGTCCACTCCATAGGGAAAGAAACATCCTTGCTTTCTTTTGTTCATTTTATACAACTTAGGCTTTGAATTGTGCTATAGCTGAGATGCAACACTGTTCCAAAATAGAGGGGATGCAACAGAGCTAGAGGTTCACAATGATACACAGTCAAAATGCTTCTAAACATGTCCTTATTTGCAACAGATGGACTTTCCCACAGTCTAATACAAGGGAGAGTGGTAACTGTTTCCTTTTCACAAGACAAATATGTATTATTTCTTCTACTTTAGAAAAGCATGTCTATTATTACCTGGGGTAACTGAGGACGTCTTTCTTGAATACTGTATTTGACCCAGGCCATTACTGCATTGAACACTTGTTCCTCACTTCGAACGTTGAGCTCATCACTGGATATTATATCAATAAGCTGATTGGCTGGAAGCAACATGAACTCTTCACTTTCCATCACCTGTTTAAAGGTAAGAATAAAAGAAAAACCTGTGATCACAGTGAATTTACTGTGTGGATATTTTTTCTTTTCTTTTTTTTTCTGAAAGATTCATTTACTTGTTTTGAAAGGCAGGGCAATAGAGAGTGATTAAGTACTTCCACCTGCCGGTTCACTCCCCAAATGCCTGCAATAGCCAGGTCCAGGCCAGGCCAAGGCCAAGAGCCAGGGACTCCATCGAGGTCCCCTAACACGGGTAACAGGTTCCTCAGTACTTGGGCCATCTTCCATTGCCTTCCCAAGTACACTGGCTGGAAGCTGGATTTGAGGCAGAGCAGGCAGTACTGGAACTGGCACTCGGGTATGTGATGCTGGCACCGCAAGTGGAGGCTTAGCCCACTGTGCCATAATACCACTGCTCAATATTTTCCTACACAGTTATGGAGCAAAGATCTATTCTACAAAGAAGCTGAAGTTTAAAATAATATTAGATGAAAAGGAAATTATAAAAGGAGAATAAAGAAGACAAAAGTAAAATTTAGTAAAAACAATCATTTGTGATGCAAGCAACTTTTTTTTCTTAAAGATCAAAATAAAACCTTATAATCAAAATAAGCCAAATTAACTACAACAAATTATAATGCCAGAAATATATATGAGGCATATACAAAGCCAGGAGAAGTTTTCAGATGAAGATTAGTTGCTAAAAGGGCAGTGTCTAGCGCAGAAGGATCAAGGGGTCAATTAAAAAAAAAAGAGCGTGAGCAATTCTGCAAGCTAGCATGAATATAACGGGGGTACTGGTGGAATCAGACCAATGCAATCACCTGAGGACCAAAGCAGTCCGATATATTTGCCAGTGAGATTCTACAAACACACGAATACCTTATCTTTATCCAAGGCTAGGGAACTGTAGGAATGGAGAAGAAAAGGCAACAAGGGTATCGCCTTGTTGTGCAGGGCAGTCACACATTCCAGGACGGTATAAGGCCATAAAGTAGAAGGGACAGAGTGCAATGCAGAGGAGGGAAAGGCACTGCGACCCTGCACATGTGCGTTCTGTCCCCCAGGAGACTGTGCTACATGTGATGTCTACCAGCACAGCTAGGAGCTAATTCTTGTTGTGCTGCTTCCAGTGCAGACGATGGATTCTCTTGGGGCAGGGTTATTTTTATGCTCATCGGAAAGCCAGAATAGTTAGCAGAACATGATAGGTCATGACAACAATTTGAGTTCTTGATTTAAGAATGCTTTCTTCAAATATATTAGAAAAAAGTGCAAAGCTTAAAACAGGGATCATAAGGTCAGTTATAGTAGAAATTACTAACAAACATTTCAAATTTTTTTTGACAGGCAGAGTTAGACAGTGAGAGAGAGATACAGAGAGAAAGGTCTTCCTTTTCCATTGGTTCACTCCCTGAATGGCCGCCACGGCCGGTGCGCTGCGCTGATCTGAAGCCAGGAGCCAGGTGCTTCTCCTGGTCTCCCATGCGGGTGCAGGACCCAAGCACTTGGGCCATCCTCCACTGCACTCCCAGGCCACAGCAGAGAGCTGGCCTGGAAGAGGAGCAACCGGGACAGAATCCGGCACCCCAACCAGGACTAGAACCCAGAGTGCCAGCACTGCAGGCGGAGGATCAGCTAAGTGAGCCGCAGCGCCAGCCCCCATTTTTTTTTTTTTTAAAGATTTATTTATTTGAGAGGCAGGGTTACAGAGAGAGAGAGGAGAAAGAGAGAGAGAGAGAGAGCGAGTGAGAGAGAGAGAGAGCGCGTGAGTCTTCCATCCACTGGTTCACTCCCCAAACCGCTACAATGGCCGGAGCTGGGCCAATCTGAAGCCAGGAGCCAGGAGCTTATTCTGGGTCTCCCACTGCGGGTGCGGGGGCCCAAGCACTCAAGCCATCTTCCACTGCTTTCCCAGGCCATAGCAGAGAGCTGAATGGAAGAGGAGCAGCTGGGACATGAACTGGTGCCCACACAGGATGCTGGCACTGCAGGCAGAGGCTTAACCTACTATGCCACAGCACTGCCTCTAAACCCTTTCATTTTTATGACACAGTCTTCAAAATTATCTGAGACTTTCTGGGGCTCAGGAAATTAAACAGGTAAGCTTTACAGTTTAGCTGAGGTTGCTCATCAGGTAACTTAGTAATCAGGGTGCACGTTTACTCTGTGGTAGGGTTGATAAATTTAGCAAATAAAAATACAGGACATTATGCTAAGAGTTATGATAAAGAAATCCTGTTTACCTGGAATTTAAACTTAACTGGAACCTTGTGCTTTATTTGGCAACCCCATGCTGGAGGTTATAAAGAACAGAGCCACATTTGGTGCCCAGTAGCTGTGTTGACCTTCACAGCATAGAAAACTTTTTCTTTTTTTTTTTTTTTTTTTACAAGATTTATTTATTTATTTGAAAGGGTTACAGAGAGAGAGAGAGGTCTTCCATCCGCTGGTTCACTTCTCAAACAGCCACAGTGGCCAGTGCTGGGCCAGGCCGAGGCCAGGAGCTCCATCCATGTCTTCCACTTGGGGGCTGGAAGACAGCAAACAATGGCTCAAGTGGTTGGGTTTCCATCACCCGTGTGTGAGACCTGAATAGAGTTCCAGGCTCCTGGCTTAGACCTGGCCCAGCCTTGGCAGTGTGAGCATTTGGGAATTGAACCAATAGAGCAGAGATCTCATTTTATTGGTCTGTCTCTCCTTATCTTTCTCTATGCTTCTCAAATACAAAGTTTATAAAAATGTATTTAAAAATTCAAAAAAGCACACATATATAAAATATTAAGGGGTAAAATAACTGTTGGTGAAAAAAATTAAAAATTAAAGAGATGGGGCCAGCACTGTGGTGTAGCGGGTAAAACTACTGCCTGCAGTGCCGGCATCCCATATGTGCGCCAGTTTGAGTCCCAGCTGCTCCACTTCCTATCCAGCTCTCTGCTATGGCCTGGGAAAGCAGTGGAAGATGGCCTAAGCCCTTGGGCCCCTGCACCTGTGTGGGAGACCCAGAAGAAGCTCCTGGCTCCAGGCATCAGATTGGCACAGCTCTGGATCAGCACAGCTGCGGCCAACTGGGGAGTGAACCAGCAGATGGAAGACTTCTCTCTCTGCCCCTCCTTCCCTGTCTGTTCTCTGACTTTCAAGTAAAGTAAATAAATCTTTAAAAAAAATTAAAGAGATTATTTTGCTTATCTCCAGGTACATCTGAAAACCTAGATAAAGTTGATGAATTTCCAGGGAAATATATTTTAACCAAATGTTCTCAGTAAAAAATATTTCACACAGGAAATAGAGAAACTCAGCAGTAAACTTCTTCACAAAAAAAGCACGCCTAGATATAAGGTTTTACAGGGAAATTCTATTAAAGAAGGCATGTGAAAAGTTGGGTCATATTTGTTTGAATGAGAACTTTTAACTGTAAAATAATGACTGCCAACATTAGTGAAGTCTAAACCCCATTTAGTCATGTTGTATTTCCCTTTTCATAGTTTTTGGAATTAATTAAGATTTGTTAAAAATTTTTACATTTAGGTTTACGAGAGATATTGTTCTGTAGTTTTTAGGTATCTGTGTTCTTGATAACAGGATGATTTTGGCCTTATAAAACAAATTGGCAACTTTCTTTTCCTTTCCCAGAAAGACTGTGTTGAATTAGTATGATTTTTTTTTCTTAACTGCTTTGTAAAATTTACCATCTATTACTGGTGTCTTGTTTGTGAGAAAGTTTTTAACTTATAAATTAAATCTCTTCCATAGATTTAGGACTGCTCAGGTTTCCTATTTTTTAAGTCAGTTTTTGTAATTTGTGTTTTTTTAAATGTCTTTCAGTTTACTCAAAAACACACATAGAATTGTGAAAATATAGGTTTACTGTTTCCAGCATGTAAGTTGATGCTGTTGTCAAAAGGCTTGCAAATTGTTTTCAAGTTTTTAAAGCTCGTCTTGACCTTTCACTAAAGCATGCCTATATTTGCTGGGTGCTAGTTTCTGGAAGGAGCTCTCGGGTGGACGTACTGCCTGCCACATCTTGGACTTGCTCTCTGGAAGCTGTATCAGTTGGGTCAGGCCCATGATGGGATGCTCTGTGGAGTTTTCCAGAGTGTAAGCCAAATACAAGCTCCTTGAGTTGCCAGGAATTAAAACATCCTTGAAGTCTGCAAACACATACATATGCCTGAAGCTGTCAACTGCTCTAACAGGGCAACCTGCTGGAGTTTCTGTATGTGCACAAGAGGACGTTTAAATTGGTCACAATCTGCATGCAAAAAGTTGACTGTATCTTTTTCATTTATTAGTTGCTGGGCTACTTCATTCTGGAGTATTTCTAAGCTTTCTGCATTGTCTCTCATATGGAAGAACAGAAGAAATGGCAATCCTTCTGTCAACTCCTCTCCATTTCCAAAGGTTATTTCTCGGACAAGAGGAACACATTTATCTTGAATCCAATTGTAAGTCACATCAAAACCTGCCATGGATCCTGAGTACACCGTATCTGGGGCAGAATGCCCGGGTGGTTGTAGATGATGCTGTCTCCACTGTATCTTTCTGGTTTTGAAACATCCCCAAATGCAGAAAGGAAGGCACAGTCATCATGCAAAATACTTACTACTCTTTCAAATACTCTATAGTTGTCTGAATCCTTTTGTTCAAAATACTCGATGGTATTTCTTTTTCTGTGATCAAGAGGGTTGATTTCTGCTAAATCCTGAGTTTCTTGAATTGGGTCATTTTTTTGTTGCCTGATGTAATCTGCAAGTACTTTCACTGATCACTGACCTCTGTATTCTCTTCATCATCATCCTGTTACAGGACAATCTGAGTTGGGTATTTGCTTATTCTGTATCTTTGGGCTACAACAGAGTGCTGATCACAGTCAACTCCGGCAAACACTACTTGATTTTCATTTGGATATTCTTCCTTAATGACATCAGAAGCTTCCTCAAAAATTGGATGCAACATCTGGCTGAAACAACACCAGTCAACATAAAAATTCACTAAAGCAACAATCAGCATTGTTTAAAATTTCACCTATATTCTCTGTATCAAAATCTGTTATTTCAGTTGTTCCAGGAGTAAAAACTCAAGTTACCAGGAGCAGCGGGCAACATCTTAAGTCAGGTAAGGATATGAAGATGGCAGGATTCACAGTAATGCTGGGGTCTGTGGCAGGGACAGGCATGGGCAGCTGGCATTGAGTTGAGCTGGGCTGGGCTGGGTTAGGAGAAGGCTGAGCTCTGGGAGCCGGTGGCAGTGGAGGAGTCTCCTAGCAGTCACACCTTGTCCTCTTGACCCGGAGTTCCAGCAGTGAACATCTGGGACAACTTCGATTTGTGTTTTTTGAAGAATTTCATTTTATTTGTTGAATTTATTGGTGAAATGTTGTTCATAATATTTTCTTTATAATCTTTTTGATGTATAAAGAATCTGTAATTGAAATTTTCTCTTTCATTCCTAATGCTGGTCATTTGTGTCTCCTCTTCATTTTATTATCAGCATAGGTAGAGGTTTTTGGAAGAACTAATGAATTTTGTTCTAGCCATTGTTCTTTTTTGCTTTGCACTTACTTTCATTTTGATTTGCTTTTGTTTTTCTAGTTTATAAAAATAAATCACTAGAACAAAAATACAAACCTTCCTATAAACTGAAAAAAATTAAATCGAAAAGCAAAGAAGATGCCAAATAGAGAAACACAGTGCAGAATTTCTGCAAAACAATAATGAAGCACTAAAGACCAAAATCTACTAAATACATTTAAAGCAGCAAATACAGAAAAAATATAGCTTTAAATACTCAGAATACAAAAATGAAAATAAGTTCTTAATTCAAACAGTTAGAAAAGAGTACAGAAGCCAAAAGAAAGCAAGAAGGAAGGAAATAACAGAAGTTAAACCATAATGTAACACGACAGAGAAAAAAAGTAGAGCTAACTAAGTAAAAATCTTGATTCTTTGAAAAACATTAACAAAATAGACCACAAGTCCACTTATTAAAAGAGGGAAACATTTAAGGCATACTCTCGAGAGAGGTAGATATTTGGCTTAATGATCTTCCTTTCATATGTCCATTTTCCATTTGAAATTTTGTTTTATATACATTGCTTATAGAATAATTTATGCTATCTTTTCTGCCGTAGTTCATGTTTTTTCTCATTGAATTCATATGAGCTTTATGAGAAACAGCATTTTTTTTTTTTGTCATGTAAGCTTCAAATAGGTTTTCTAAGTTTCACATTGATTTTTTAGTTTACTGGACTTACTGCTGCTGTTACAAAAATGAAATTTAGCTTATGCAATTTATCAATCTTTTTCTTTATGGCTCCTAGGTTGTAACCTGCTTAAATCTTAACTCTCAGCCTATTAACACTACCTCTTAGAATTAGAATTTTATTTTTTAAAAAAATTTATTTCAAAAGGAGAGGAGACAGGAAGAGAAAAATACAGAGACCTTGTTTGTGCTAATTCACTCCCAAAATATCCCCCAACAGCCAGATCTGGGTCAGGCTGAAGCCAGGAGCCAGGAACCCAATCTGAGTCTCCCACATAGGCAGCAGGGTAGAAATGGAAACAGAGCCAGGACTCAAACCCATGCACGCTAATATGGGATGCACGCATCTTAGGTGGTGTCTTACTTGCTATACCAAATGATTACCGCAGAATTTTATTTCTTATATTTAAATTTCATTTATTTGAAAGTGAGTGAGACAGAGAGAGAGGAGGGATACCTTCCAACTGCTAGTTAACTCCCCAAATGCCTGCAGTGGCCAGCTGGACCAGGCTGAAACCAGGAGCCAGGAATTCAATTCAGGTCTCCCACATGGGTGACAAGGACCCAAGTACTTGAGCCAATTCCTGCTGCCTCCCAGGGTGTACATTAGCTGGAAGCTAGAATTAAAAGCGGAACCCAAACCCAGGCACTCCAATACGGGAAGCAGGCATCCCAAGCTGTGTCTTAAATGCTGTGCCAAATGCCCACTTCATTATATTAATTCACCCATTGGAAATTTCATCTGTCTAAGGAGTTTGTTGTTTTCCCAAATTGCAGTTTTCCAAATGACGTTTGCTAAACAATTCTACTTTCCTTCACTGACTTTAAATGTCTACTGCATTCTCTTTAGCTTCAATGATCTGTTCCTTTTCTACCACTACCACCAAAATATTTATGATGTTTTAATAATTCTTAAGCCCAATGGCTTAATATTAATTTTCAGAAAATCCCTGCTTATTTGACTGCATGTATACATACATACTCATATATTAATGTATCCCATCCTTCTTAAAACAGTTCTTTCCTCTGCATTTCATGATCCCATGCTTCTAGTTTTCATTTCTTTTCTCAACTATCCCCACTCTTCCTTCACTAACCACCCCTAATACTGGAAGTCTCAGGCTCTTCTTCCTAGCTCCCTCCCCTAAGGTGATCGCATTGGCCTTGATTTCTTAGACTTGTTAATGGTGTTTTAATTATTAAAAAAATTCATGGGAGACCAGGAGAAGCACCTGGTTCCTGGCTTCAGATCGGCACACCAGCCGTAGCGGCCATTTGGAGGGTGAACCAACGGAAGGAAGACCTTTCTCTCTGTCTCTCTCTCTCACTCTAACTCTGCCTGTCAAAAAATAAAGTACATATTTTATGCAATTAAATTTACCAATCATTTCCTTTACAGCTTCTTGGGTTTTCTCTTGCTTAAAAAGAATCAGTCCATGGCTTAATTACTATGTCAACAACACCTAAATTTTAATCTGGGCCTAATATCTTATCTAGGAAATAGACTCATAAGCAACTGCTTGTTCAATATCTACTTAAATACCTCAAAGGTGTCCCAAACTGTACATTTCTGAAACAGAAATCATGATCTTATCTCCTTACACTGTGCCACCCTTTAGTACATATAGAGTACAAATTCCTAGAAGCAGGACTGCTGGATCATAAACTGTGTGAAAAAGTATACAATTTTAACAGATACTGACAAACTTCAAATTCATACTACAATGAACCTATTTCCCTGCTAACATGCCAACAGACTGTATAAAGTTATGAATAGTTAATAGTATTTTGGTGCAGTTTTGTGTTTTAGTTATTTTCAATAAATGTGACCAGATTTTCGGATATTTAAGGCAATATGAATTTCCCTTTCTTTTCTACTTTTTTTTTTTTTGGACAGGCAGAGTGGACAGTGAGAGAGAGAGAGACAGAGAGAAAGGTCTTCCTTTTCCGTTGGTTCACCCCCCAGTGGCCGCTCCGGCTGGTGTGCTGCGGCTGGCACACCATGCTGATCCAAAGCCAGGAGCCAAGTGCTTCCTCCTGGTCTCCCATGTGGGTGCAGGGCCCAAGGACTTGGGTCATCCTCCACTGTCTTTCTGGGCCACAGCAGAGAGCTGGACTGGAAGAGGAGCAACCAGGACAGAATCTGGCGCCCTGACTAGGACTAGAACCCAGTGTGCCGGGGCCGCAGGTGGAGGATTAGCCTATTGAGCCGCGGCGTTGACCCTCATTTTTCTTTTAAGTTTGGATTATAATTTGTTCTGCTGAATAATTCATGTAACCAGGAAGGAAATGCCTTATGCAAATGACTGATACCAGGTGCTCTATCAGGTACAGATCCTCTTAGGAATTAGTGAAATGTATTTTGGGTTGTAAATAAGCCTTTTATGAATATAGCTATGGAGAATCAATCCCTAAGCCATAAGTTTTGCTGGTAAAACATAAAATTGGCTTCCAAAATAAAAATCAGGCTTAGATTTTATAAATATTTCTATGACATTGTGAGTTAGGATCAACAGCAAATATTCGGGCAGGTGTTAACAGACTATGAACTCGTATCCCTCTCTTGACAAATAGGTTACAAATGTGTTCAAACCACCAAATACAACTCACCTCTTGGAAGTTATGTTGAGTGAACTTGTCTGCTATCCTTAGCAGCTCACGACATGAATGTGTATCAGCAAAAGCCCGAATGCCCAGGCAGTTAGAAGGATCTAACTGTCTCTTCAGGAATTCGCAGCAGGCCTCCTGTATTTCTGCCAGCTGGAGGAGGCAGGCAGCTGGCAGAAGGGTCTGCACATTGCCCTCTTCGACAGTGATCTGGGAAGTATACGCAAAGTCAATCAGGAGTTCCATGGCCCTCTCATCGATGTCTCGGATCACGACTTCGGTCTGACGGCTCTCTGCCAGTTCTCCTGTGAACATAGCTCGGAAGTAGGGACTGCAGGCTGACAAGATGACTCGGTGGGCATATATTTTCTTAGCTCCCACAACTAGAACCACATCGCAGAGCTCCCGGTGCTTTCTCAGAAGGTTAATAACTTCCAAGGTCTGTCGAGGGTGCTTGTCTGAGATGTAGGGCATGCGGGCAGGTTGGGGAACCCCTTCTGGCAGTTTGTTGGGGTCTCCAAGAGTGCAGCGGCTTGTTACATCCATTCCAGTCTCTCCTGGTCGAATGTTGGTACACCTACAGGAGGGAAGGAGAGGGAGGGAAGATGGTAATATTAGGAGAACTTCTGCCTTTAAGCTTTGTAAATCAAGAGATAGAAACATGTGCAATTAACAAGAGAGAGAAATAAGCCCCCAAGGAACTCTCTTCCTAAGACCCATTAATTTCTTTAAAATTTCCTGAAGGATGAATGGTAATAATTCCAAGTCAGAGCTCTCATAAAAGAAATGATAATTCCTTTTCATCCTGAAGTAGTTACACTGCGTTGGGTCATTTCCCACACAATGTTAATACAGAGCATTTGTAAATGTTTGTCTCTGCATGAAACAGATATATGAAGCTTAATTTCTAAATCAAGTTTAACCAGAATATCAGTATTTGTTATTTTTTTATAATAGCTGATATTTATTTCTTATTTTCACTGGGCAATACATTGAATTTTTCTAAGGTTCATCATAAAATCTGCTAACTACAGCACATGTTGCATGAAAAGATCAGAAGGGAAAAAGGCCAGGGTTGAAAAAATTATTTTCATGCATTAATATTATATTTATTTGATCTAAGATATATTTTTTCTTTTTTTTTAAAGATTTATTTTGTTTATTTGAAAGGCAGAGTTACAGAGTGAGGTAGAGATAAAGAGAGAGGTCTTCCATCTGCTGATTCACTCCCCACATAGCTGCAATGGCCAGAGCTGCGCCTATCTAAAGCCAGGAACCAGGAGCTTCTTCCAGGTCTCCCACGTGGGTGCAGGGGCCCAAGGACTTGAACCATCTTCCACTGCTTTCCAGGCCATAGCAGAGGGCTGGATCGGAAGAGGAGCAGCTGGGTCTCGAACCAGTGCCCATATGGAATGCCAGCACTTCAGGTCAGGGCCTTAACCCACTGTGCCACAGCACCGGCCCCAAGATATATATTTTTCATAGTTTAGTATTTAGTAAACCTTGGAAATCATCTAAAACTGATGTCCAAGAAACTTAACAGCTACCAAGTACAAGAGGTATGATCAGTTTGCCCTACCCTCACAAGGAAATTTTAGTCACATTTCTTGAAAGAGGTATTAGAATTTTCAGAGCCAAGAGAGGTTAGTGTGACAGTCTTATGTCGCAAAACAACAATTGCTCAAGATCTGAAAGTTTTTGGTTAACTTTCAAAGGAAGAGATTTTACTCTAAATGGTATATAATTGGTATATACTTGATCTAAAGAGTCTTATCAGGACGGGTATTTAGTCTAGTGGTTGAGATGGCTCTTCTCACATCAGCACACCTGGGTTGATTCCCAGCTCTGGCTCTTGACTCCAGCTTTCTGCCAGGGCAGACCCTGGGAGCCAGCATGAAGGCTCAAGTAACTGAGTTCCTGCTACCTGTGTGGGAGGCCTGAACTGAGCTTGTGCCTCCCAGCTTTGGCCAGCTCTGGCTGCTGCAGGCATCCAGAGAGTGAACCAGTAGATGGAAGCTCTCTGTCTCTCAAATACATAAAATAAAATAAAATAAAATAATCACTACCTTAACCAAATGTGATAGGAAATATATATAATATACATATCAAGATTATATGATTACAGTAGTTTTAAAGAAGTAAATTAGGAAATAGAAAATAAAAGGTAAAAACACACACACATGCATACACACTATCACAGCATAGATTATATAACAGGGTGTCACTGTGAGGCTATAAGCAATTGCTGATCCAAACATAATTCAGAGGATTCATCAGTCTCTGAATAAGAGGTAAACTTTGAGGCAAACTTTATGATATCGAAGAAAACTGAGTATTAATTATATGGGTAAAAATATTGTCAGCTAATAAGAAAAGCTTTGTACCCTTAAGGCAGTCTTTACATTCTAAATAATTATTAAATAAATCAAGTGTCATATAAATAAGGAGCACAGTAAATAACTATAGGGTTAATTCTAATAGTTGGTCCTAAGAAAGAAAATAATCAAATCAAATATTTTAGAATTCATTCAGAGAGAAACGAATAGGTATGAAGAGTTCCTTCTCATATATAAACTGGATTGAGTCAAACATCAGGTGTCTTAAAGTGTTTTTTTAAATTTTTTATTTTTTTGACAGGCAGAGTGGACAGTGAGAGAGAGAGAGAGAGACAAAGGTCTTCCTTTTCCATTGGTTCACCCCCCAGTGGCCGCTCTGGCCAGCGCGCTGTGGCCGGTGCACCGTGCCGATCTGAAGCCAGGAGCCAGGTGCTTCTCCTGGTCTCCCATGGGGTGCAGGGCCCAAGCACTTGGGCCATCTTCCACAGCAGAGAGCTGGACTGGAAGAGGAGCAACCGGGACAGAATCCGGCGCCCCAACCGGAACTAGAACCAGGGGTGCTGGTGCCGCAGGCAGAGTATTAGCCTAGTGAGCTGCGGCGCCGGCTTTAAAGTGTTTTTATTATATCTTTTTTAAAAAAATTATTTTATTAAAATTTTTTTGATTATATAAAAAGATTTCTTCCTTCATCTCTCCCAACCAAGCATAACAGCTCTGACAGAGGGGTACTATGACTAATCTAATTTTGATTTTTTAGCATCTTTCTAGCTGTAGTTCATCAAAGCAGGCTCTGAAATCAAAGGGAGCTGGGTGGATATCCTAGTACTGACCCTTCCTAGTATCTTTAGTTCTAAAACAGGAACCTGTCCCATAGAGTAAAGATTAAAGGAGATAATGCGCGTAAAAGCTTTCAGTTCAGGGTTTGCTATATATCAACCATTTTGAATTGTAACTATTGTAATAATGACTGCTTATACTCCTTTTAGATAAGGTGGTATGCTTCTCCAAGTTCAAAATCCAATCTAAGCTAATATGCTTCAATTAATATTTAAATCAATTTTGAATTAGTGATAATGCAGCCATGTCCAGATTAAGGTTTATCTTTACTTAGAAATCCTTTCTTCAGTTTATGAAAATTAAAACAATAAGATGACACATGAAGCTTTAGCTTGTTTAGTAGGACTCTTCAGAACCTCTAGAAAAAGATTTTGTTAGATTAATTTGAGTCTGGAGATAAAAGTTGTACTTCAAAAAGTTCATGGGATGGGATCGGCACTGTGGCATAGCAGGTAAAGCCACTACCTGCAGTGTTGTCATCCTATATGGGCGCTGGTTCGAGTCCCAACTGCTCCACTTCCCATCCAGCTTTCTGCTATGGCCTGGGAAAGCAGTAGAAGATGGTCCAACACTTTGGGCCCCTGCACCCATGTGGGAGATACGTAAGAAGCTCCTGGCTTCAGACCGGTGCAGCTCTGGCTTTTGCAGCCATGTGGGGAGTGAAACAGCGGATGGAAGACCTCTCTTTCTTTCTGCCTCTGCCTCTGTGTAACTCTTCCTTTCAAATAAATAAATAAATCTCAAAAAAAAAAAAAATAGCTCATGGGAAATGGAATCAAAAGATAATTTTTGTGCAAAAAATGTGAAATTCATGCATTTTTTATAATATGCATTTTCCATGAACTTTTGGGAAGACTCCTCGTATTAGGTATTACAAATAGCTTCAAATAAAAGTACCAGATGGGGTGGGTGTTGTGGCACTGTAGGGTGGACTGCTGCTTAGGATGCCTGCATACCATATTGAAGTGCTCGTTCCCATCCCAACCACTCTGCTTCTAATCCAGCTCTCTGCCAAGTCACCTTGGAAGCAGCAGAGGATGGCTCAAGTGCTTGAGTTCCTGCCAGGCATGTGGGTGACCAGGATGGAGTTCCTGCCTCCTGGCCCTGGCCTGGCCCAACCCCAGATACCTTTCTCCCTCTCTCTCTCTCTATCACTTTGCCTTACAAACAAATAAATAAACAAACCTTAAAAAAAATAAACATATGCCAAACTGTTTCCACCAATCACTGATCAATCAGTTTTACTATGATTACAAAAGAAATGTGTAAGTTCATATATAGATTATTCTTCAAGTTATAAATAAATAGTTTTCTAAAAGTTTAATTTTATGATGACTTTACTAGCAGAGCAGGTCTCCTGATGCTTCTGGACAAATCACAACTACTTCCTGAGCTATTGTGACTATTTATTTTATTTCTTTTTAAAATTTATTTATTTATTGAAAGTCAGAGTTACATAGAGGGAGAAGGAGAGGAACAGAGAGAGAGAGAGAGAGAGAGAGAGAGAGAGGGAGAGAGAGGGAGAGAGAGAGGGAGAGGTCTTCCATCTGCTGGTTCACTCCCCAGATGGCCGCAATGGCCAGAGGAGCCAGGAGCCAGGAGCTTCCTCCAGGTTTTCCACATGGGTGCAGGGGCACAAGGATTTGGGTCATCTTCTACTGTTTTCACAGGCCATAGCAGAGAGTTGGATGAGAAGTGGAGCAGCCGGGACTTGAACCGGTACCCATATGGGATGCCAGCATTGCATACAGCAGCTTTACCTGCTAAGCCACAGTCCCAAGCCCCTATTGTGACTATTCAACAACTGGGATTCAAGTGAATGATGCAGAAGGGGAGAGCTTAGGATTGTTTTAGCATTTCAAAACAAAGTTTTGTGTTTTCCTTACTGATTATCCAAATTTCTTTTAACTGATTTTTAAAAAAAGATTTCTTTATTTTAAAGGTAGAGTTACAGAGAGAGAGAGAGAAGGAGAGATAGAGATCTTCCATCTGCTGGTTCACTCTCCAAATGGCAGCAATGACTGCCGCTGCGCCAAGCCAAAGCCAAATGCTTCTTCAGGGTCTCCCATGTAGGTGCAGGGGCCCTCCTCTGCTGCTTTCCCAGGCACATTAGCAGGGAGTTGGACCAGAAGTGGGACAGCAGGGCCTCAAACCAGCGCCCACATGGAATGTGTTAGAAGCCATGCGGGATATGGCTTTAACACTCTGTACCACAGTGCTGGTCCTGTCATCCAAATTTCTGTACAACTCTTTCTAAAAGCCCAGGGAACTGTTCCAAACACAGATTTTTTTTTTCTTTTGATTAAGTCACCATAAAAAACTTCACCAGTGTAGTATCTGAAAGTCTTGATAACTTGGTGAAAAAAGGCCTACAAATGAATTTCAGATTTAAGGAAATAGTAAG